AGCACCGGCCCCCACCACACGCAGCCTTGCAGCTCCTGCGCCTGCTGCAGCGTCCCAGACTGTTTCTTACAGCAGCAGGGGAAACTGAGTCACAGAGCACCCTATGAGCTTTCCCTCCCAAGATCAGCCTCCCTGTACTGCTCAGCCCATAAATCACTTTGGGTGCAGGAGAAATACCACAGCAGGTGCCCTGGGGCTGTTGCAGAGGGGCAGCTGGCCAGCACAGACCGCGGACACCCGGCCGAGCTCCACGTTTGCCTTGTGGCAAAGCTGTGGCCGCATTCCCCAGAGCCTGTGCAGCTGGGACAGCTTTGCAGTGAGGACGTGGTGAGGAGTTTCTGCTAGACACCTCGTTTTGCAGCTCATAAGCTTAGGCAAATGAATCCTGAGCGGTTTTGCCTTTTGAGAGGACCTTTAGCTAAATGACAGGGCTTTGCTCCTGCTTCCTGAGCTTCCTCCGCTGCTGGGCACAGGGGAGAGCAGCCTGAGGTGTGAACTTTGTTTCCAGACCCTGTGTTTGTCATCCCAGCCAGGAGCTGCTCCCAGGGCCATTGTCACCAGCTGCTCCTGCCTAGTGCTTCATGGTTAGGGTGACATCCAGGTGAGGTGAACAGCAGTTTAAGGAACAAAGAAACTACGTGTCACTTGGTTTCGCCCTGCTCAGAGAGAGACAGATGAGAAGTAAAGCAGTGAGCTCATCTGCGAGATGGTTCCAGCACAAAATCTGCTTCGGCTGCTCTCCCAGGACTGTGCTCGTTCCATTTCTGTAAGGAAAATGCAGCTTGGGGTCCTCCAAAGAAAGAAGACCCAGATCCTAATTCAGTCTTGGCAAACCCTTGGCCCTTCTGCTGGATTGCCCATCATGGAGAATTAAACAGCCAGCGATGACCCTTAAAGGGCATCTGGCAGCAGCCAGCAGAGCGGGGCTCTGATGCTGGGCTGAGGATGATGTGCAGTTGCAGGAGCAGAACAGGTCTGGACACTGCCTGTTCCTGCCTGTTCCACAGAGCTCATGGGAGAGCTGGACCTGGCACAGACCAACACCGGGGCAGATGCACGGATGGCCAAGGGACACCGGGTGATGGCAGAGAGGACAGTGGTGGATGTGCACGCAAAGGTCCTATTGCACTTAGGGGCAATAGCACATGGTATATTCTAACTCCAGTTTTTCCAGGAGCCAGGGACAGGCTGTTTTGGCTTCTCTGCCTCAGCTCCCTGCTTATAGGAACGTAGATGCAGTGCCTGCCAGGGGCAAACCCCACTGCGGTCGCAGGAGCGGCATTCGCAACTGCACTGCATAGCACAAGAGCTCGCGTTTCACCAGCTGGCATTTACAGGGCTCAACCCTGTCTTTGTAAGACTTTGCAGGGTATGGATTGTGGGGGTTCCTGCTTGCAAGGCTGGAAATCCCAGTCCAGCAAATAAAACCTTGTTCAGGACCGTGTTTGCAAAATTTTCTGGAGAAGTCAGCCATTAAACTACAGGAAACTGTTGAAAACAGAAGTAGAAGGGAAGGAGCATTTTTCCAAGCTCAGATCTTGGGAGAGACTTTGTAGGAACAAAGCTTACAGGAACGTCTGGAGAAGTCCTGCTGGCTTTAGAGGGTTCGTTCCTGCAACGAGGCTGGTGATGGGAGAGAGGCGTGAGGGGGAGGGTGAATTTGCTGGGACAGGGCTGAGTCAATCTGCTGGAGACACAGTTCTCCATCGTGCCTGTGCCCCACACCTATTTATTTGCTCAGCGGTGCAGTCCTAAGCCTGCTTCTCTCTCCGACAGGGCGAGCTGCCACTCAACGCCATCCAAGTGCTTTTTGAAGAGAACGAGAAAACCTCCTTTTTAATAGAAGGTGCGTGTCGGGCATGCCGAGGGGTGTGCTGGCAGCAGCCATGGAGGTCTCTGGGCTGGGCTGGTTTTGCTAAGCTGCTGTGGCTATCAGAAGGATACCTGCGCCCACCTCCGCACCGAGCTCTTGGAACTGAGCTGCTTGGAAGTCTCGGACTGTCTGAGCCCTGGCTGCGTGGCAGGGCCTGGCTTTGCTGGCAGGGAGAGGCTGTGAGCCAGCAGCAAGCTTGTCCCAGGGCAGCTGCACAGGTTCCCCCTCGTTTAGATCTGGGCTGTGTTTGCCCCTGTCCTGCATTCGGCCAGATGTGAACACCAGCACTGAGGGCAGAGCGTTCCCCGTGTCCCTGCACTGGTGTGAGGGTCTCCGGACCCCGGGAGAAGGTGGGGAGGGATGGAGCAAGGGGATTCCATGGCTTTCTGAAGGAAGCAATGCGGGGTGTCGATCGAAGCCAGTAACAGCAGTGAGTGATGTTTTTACAGGGCGGCTGATCAATTCGATCCGGGTGATCTGCTGCAGCTACGAGGATTACCGGGAGTGGCTCTACTGTCTCAAAACAGCCCAGTTTCGAAACGCCGACTCCTCCCTCTCTGGATCAGAGAGTTTCTCGGGATCAAAGCTGCCACACCCCAGCCAGGTAACAGATGTTGTGGGTTTGCATGGTAGTCAATAGATGTCTCCCAGGACTCCCATCTGGCCACGTGCGAGTGCGCTTGTGACGCAGCAGATTTTGCTACAAGTCCCCTGCTCGAAGGCTGTCAGCAAGTCATTGATCCCTGCAAATGACTTCGAAGCCCCATATTACATTATATAGGATGTATTCTATTCAGTTCCTTCAAAAGCAGCCCCCTAGCCACAGCTGTGACAGTGTTGTGCAGTGAGGCATTGGCACAGGACACTAACAGGGTCTTGCAAGGAAGGGGAGACCCACCCTGCCAGCACTGCAGCCAGGACGAGGTCAGGGTGCCTGAGCACCCTTCTCTCCACTGCGAGCCCCCGTCACTTGCCCCTGTTGCCCCTGCAAGCTGGATTCAGCCACCCACTCAGCCTAGAGTGCAGCACGCCCCACCACACCAGCATAGCTGCCCCAGTGGCTGCTCGCCACACGGGCACAGCCCAGAGCCAGGTCTGACCCCAGTGTGTGGGCACGGAGGGCTGGGCTGGCCCAGTGATGCTCAGGCTGGGGAGGGATGTGCCTGCGGCCACGCAGAGGGCTGTTCCTACGTGCCGTTCTTCTCTCCCATCTAGTTTGCCGGCAGCGGGAGAGGGTCACTCACTTCTGATGGCCGTACAAACTCCTGGGCATCGGCAGGGAAAGTGACCACCTTAACGCACCTCTCCCAGAACAGCGGCTCTCTCCCCGATGGACAGTCCTTCGTGCTGATGCCTGAGAGCAGGGTGCTCGAAGACCCCCTCTCCCCTGGCTATTCCCAGCCTCTCCATGTAAGTGAACCCCTCGAAAGCCTGACGTGGGGTCAGACGCTCCTTTGAGCAGAGCGATCTGTCCTGGTGCCTGGATGGGCTGAGCTCGGGTGGTCAGTGTTTGCTGTGCGGCGCAGCAAATCCATGCCTGGACCCTGTATTTGTCCTGGCTCAGCTTTGCCATTGCTGATAAGGGAAAAGTCTCCCAAGGAGTCCCATGCCCATACTCCGCTCTGCATAAGGGTTGTTGGTACAGATTGCAAAAGGGCAAACGGGACCGTTCAAAGGTCAGGAAATCCCGAGTAAGGACCGGTGGGTGGGTGGAGGTGATGGGCTAGGCAGGCCTTTGAGCTGACCCTGTGCAGCATTCCTATGTCCGGGGGTGTGTGTGGGGCATGGGCTGGCTGCAGGACCGTGCAGATGCACGAGCGCAGCGTGGTGCCCACAGCAGTGTCCCTGGCAGGGGAACGCCTTGCATTGGCTGCAGGAGGGTCCGTGTACCTGGGGCTGCCTGAGGAGAGCCAGCTCCAAGGTCTGTCTTCTTGTTCCAGTGCCTGGCACACGCCAACCAGCCAAGCACGGGGCTGCCCACACAGGACCTGCAGAGGGGAGGCAGTGCTAGAAAGTCCAAGGGCAAATGTGGGCCTTGTGGCCAGCAGCTGCCCAGCCAGGACACGGAGAGGACCATGTGCAGCCTCATTCCCGAAAACCTCAACGGCGAGCTCCTATCCTCAGTGTACAGCGAGCCGTACTCCGCACCCAGCCCGCAGCATCGCCCTGCAGCTCCCTCGGCACGCCTGGACCTGAGCCATGTAAGGGGGCTGGGACATGGTGGGGCTGCCCTCCTCCCCGGGGAGGGTTGAGCAGCGGAGGAACTTGTGCATGGTCCATGTTTTCCTTACAGTGCCACTTGCAGGAATAGCTGTCCTAGCAGGTGCTCTGGGGCAGGCGTGAAACCCGTTTCTGTTTGAAAATGGCCCATGGGGGGTGAGGTTAGACACAGCAAACAGAGCGACATCTCCTGGAGCCCAGAGACGCTGGGCACTAACTCCTGAGGCATCAGTGCTCTGCAAGCAGGAGTGTTACCACTTCACAGGACACATCCTCTTCTTCTGAGGGCTCCCACCATGTGTCCGTCATTGGTTTAGTGTGTGATGCCACGATTCCCTCCCCTCAGCCTCAATGCGTGTGCATCTGCCTTATGCCCGGGGAAGTGCCCTCCTTGGCACAGATGGCTACAGCTGGGAGTCAGCCCCGCTGTTTGGGACTTGCATTGCAGGGGAATTCTCTGCTCCGATCCCTCCTGGGGATGACTTGCAAGTAGGGAACGGCACTTCACGTTCCTGTTTCAATTCTGCCTTGTAGCTGAACAGATGGAGCTTGGTGGGAAGTCAGCCCTCGACAGCCTCCAGCTCGCTGGAGAAGCCGGCCGTGTCCCGCTCCCCCTCGTACGCCGACCCCTATACGCCCCGCTGCCCCAGCGCTCGCAGCACGGCAGGCTTCAGCTTCCTGGAAGAGGTACCCTGCGCCATCGCTGCTGGTGATGGCCCTGACTCAGCACACAGGCTTTTGGCTCCAGAAATGATGCCTCGAGCCGTTTCTTTTCCTGCTGTCTGCCCGAGCCTGAGCGGGATGTGGAAACGCAAGGCTTGCATTGCGGGGTGGGGCACGGCTCAGCACAGGGCTCTGATTTTTCAAGCCAGGACAGGGTCAGAAGGGAACAGGTTTCCCCTGTCTTATCACTGGATGCCAGCGTCACAACAATCCTCGGAAAAGCCAGAAACCGCAGAACAAAGGCAGAGACTGAGATGTGATCCAGTCTACAGAAACTAGAGATGAGTCAGACACAGAGATCACTCTATCTGACCCCAAAAATTCCAGCTGTGATAACTGAGTGCCTGCTAAGGGCTACATTTCTAGTTTTGTGCATCTCTTGGGAAGAAACTATTTCTGAGTCTGTGGCTGGCGTCTCCCACACTGCTGAAGCCCTCCCTTGCCTTGGAGGGTTCTTTGTTCTCTGTCCTTCCTCCTCCCCTGGGCTGCCAGTAGGTTTCATCCTACTACCTGCACATCTGGCCAACTTCCACTACCTCTGTGGGTCACTGTGAGGGGCCCGCAGCCACTCTTCCTTTCCCATCTAAGGCCTTCAGGGTTGGAATGTAGTAGAATTTGCAAGGTAGCCAGAAAACCTTGTTTTGCCTAAGTCTGTTCATAGCAGGGCTGGCTTATGGGTGGGAAGCAGCAGGTCAGTGTTCCCGGACTCTCCACAGCAGGTATCAAATCTGGAGTTTGTTTCTGTTAAGTTCCTGCAGCATCATGGACAGACGGGTTCAGCACAGGCTGATGGATGCCCAGCCATCCCGGTACCCCAGCATCCCTCTCTGCAGAAGCGGAACTGCCAGCCCCTGCCCAGCAGGCACTGCAGAGAGGTGCCTGCGGCTCCGAGTTACAGCACCCTGGGCACCTCATGCCATCTCCAGCTGCGGCCTCCTGCTAATGCTTCTTATCTTGGAGAGGTGAGTTGGTAAATGCAGTCTTAGTGCCCCATGCTGTGCAGGCTGCAGGTGAATACATGGGGGTGTGGGACCCTCAGCTTGCCTTTCTCTGATCTGGAAGAGTGGTTGGTCACTGCAAGGCTCTGAGCCCTTGGCTCTGTGACGGGGTGCATCTTGGGGAGCAGGGATGGGGGAACCAATGGAGAGCTGATTCCTGGTATGCAGTATCCCAGGACAGCAGCGCTAAGCCATCCTCGTCAGTGCTTCTCTTTCTCTTCAGGTCTCTTCTCTGCGAGAAGAACATCTGGGCTTTTCACTGCAGCCACCAGGTGAGACTTTTGCGAGGCTACTGGGGTGCTGCAGCCCACCCCGCCTTGCCAGTGTCTGTCTCCATAAGCATCAGTGAAGGGAGGGAGCGTGGGGACTCATGCATGCCCTTTCTTCCTCCTGCTCCCCTGTGGTGGGACCAAGTCTGTCACCCTGCCCCTTGCCAGCGTCTGTCTGATCAAGGCAGTTGCCTGGGCATCCCCTTACTGCCCACCAGCTGTGGCCAACCATCACACATCGGGGCTTGTGGTTTGTCCTACGGCACACTCGCAGTTTCCACCGCTTTGCCCAGATCTAGTGGCATCTGGGCTGTGATTTTGCTGACCCTTGCCCCTTCTTTCTGCTGGCAAAGGAGACTGCAGCCACGGGGCTGCTGGTGAGCTCTCTGAGGGCTTTGATCTGGTTTCCTGCAGATGGGAATGTCGGCATTTACGACCTGCCTGAGGCCAGCTGCCAGCGCCGTGACTCTGCAGCCTCCCATGACTATGCCGAGCTCCAGAGCTTCCAGAGTGACTTCAGCTATGACAACCTGTGGGAAGCCGAGGCGAAGGAGCCGGGCTCCCCACACGCCTCCCCAGCACCCAGCCAGCAGTTTTACCAGGTCTGAGGGAAGGCCTCCACAGCCAGGCACAGAAAAGCCCCCGGGCTCTTTTCTTGCTGGGCTTCCCTCTAGGGTGAGGAGCCTGGGGCATAGGAAGCAAGGGGAAGGGCCCTGCTCTGCGAAAGGCTGGATCCCATGTCCTGGCAGGTTCAGAGTTCAAACTTCTCCTCTAAGACTGAGGATGGGGGCAAAGCACAAAAACGACAGCCTCTGCGGACCCAGAGGAGCAGCATGTGCCATGCTAAGGAGCGTGCTCTGGCTCGAGGAGCCCTGGCTAGGGAACAGCATCACCCCCTGAAAATGAAGAATAAAAAGCTGGTCAGGCTCCCTCAGATAAAAGGGACTGGGTGAGAAGTTGCTCAAAGGCCAAAGAAAAGGGCAGGTTATTGGCTGGGTTAGTTTGATCATTTTCATTTTGCCAGAGCCCTCAGGCTGGTCACTTTGAGGATGCACTGATCCCTGAGAATAGCTGTTAAGCCAAACCTTCCCCCATTGAGCTCTGAAGTCTGCAAAAATGTATGAGACGTGCCCCATCATGGTATATAATGTTGGTAGCAGTAGCTGTGCTCATAGGATTGTCTTCCTGCAAGATCAGAGTTATCTGACAGACATGGAGAAAGAAATACAGATCTGGGCAGAATGGGGTGCTCTTTCCACTTTATGAAAAAAAATTCTTTCCCGCCAGTGCTGGCTCCACACTGTGGTGGTGACCTGCAACGTTATGAGCCTGACCTCTTGGCAGACGGAATCAAGAAATGTGCTGCCAGCAAATACGCCAAGTGGCTTGTGTTTACCAAGGTCTTCCCTGGAAAGGATGCCCTAGATCCCTCTTACGGGACGCGTCCTTTCCTCCCACCCCTCTCTGCACATTACTGGGCTCATGCTAAATGCTGCCTATGGTACCTAGGCAGGGAGGGAAGGAAGAAAACTCACTACGAGCCAAACTCCACTACAGCCATAACACTCAGAGCGATGCCAGTGTGGGCTGTAATCTCTCTCTCCGCCACTCCAGAGCAGCGGCAAGACGAGGACACAAACAACAGGGGACAGAGTCTCAGTGCTATCGTGTTCCAGCCTCTTAGGCTAGATCCTTTAGCACATAATAAGGTTAGCAGCAAATCCAAGTGTTTTTACCTGAGGCTCCACATTCTTAACCTTTGTTCCCTAAATATGCTGCAAACCAAACATAGTAACAAAATCTCTATTTTCATTCTTTCAGTGGTGCAAACAAAACAATCCAGGAGCTCTTTGTACTTGAATATCTACGTATTACATTGTACTTATAATTTTTCCTTTTCAGAAGGTATCCAACAAAGTTTACATGCAAGGTTTGAGTGGATTAGATGTATTTAACGTGTAAATGTGGCTGAGTTGAAGATCTATTTAATTTTCGAGCTGTGGATGACGTTCAGTACTGTAGAATGGGCAGCTGTCTGCACATTCGTGTGTGTGTTGGTTTGGCTCTTCTAGCTGTTATTAATTTGTTTCAGGTTTACTCTCATTTTGGGAGGATTTGTGTCTAATAACTTAACTCCAAAAGGATCTATTTATTCAGAACAGAATTGCACTAGGGAACATCGGAAGCACGTAGTATGCTGGGAGGCAGCCATGCTCATGAGCTCCTATGAACACCTTGGCTTTGAAGACTGTCACCATGACCTTTTTAACTGGGTTTCAGCGGCGATATCTGCAATGTATCAAAAGGGAAAAGTCCCTCCCTATTGCTGTAAAGGTTCTCTGGTGGGTTTCTATGAGACTCGACAATTGCAATACATGTTCTTCTGGAATACTTCTCTCTTTCTTTGCCATCAGCTAGTTTAACAGAGGTGAATTTTTGTCCGTTGCTGCTGTCCTTTCCAAAGGACTTTATGGGTCCAGGAGGATTTCCAGAGTGCTGACTGTCTCTTGTTTAGGTCGGGCACTTGTAAACACGTAATCCCAGAGCAAAGTCTCCCCTGAGTTTGTCAGGCAGCAAGACTTGGCTGGAGGTTTAATGCCAAAGCTAATGAGACTTTGCTTCAGCCCTGCGCTCTGGGGTGTTGGAAGGGTGCTCTCTAAGAATCAGGTGGTGACTCCAAACGGCTCCGTGCACCCGTGCAGCTGGGAATGCCCGTGCCATGCTGTGACTGTGCATGGTCTGTCCTGTCTGCTCTCCAGCCCGGGGCAAACCTGGGTGAACTTGAACTGAGCGGGACACACTGGCCAGCCCCAGCACTAGGCTCAGGTATGGAGCTGAGCCCTCCCTGGGCTGCCAGGCGGTGCAGGGCTTGGCTCTGTTGTTTACCAGCCTGACCCCCCTTCATGGCAAGGACCTGGGTATGACCCTCAGTTTAAAGTTCAGCAATCTCACTGGGCTGCAAGAGGGCAACCCGCAGCAGTGGGTGCTGGAAGGCACTAATGCGTGGAAAGATGACAGGAGTCTGTGCTGCACACAGGGGAGCTCGAGGAGCTGAATAACCAGGCAAGAGGCAAATGCAATGGCCGCAGAGGACCAGTGTATCTGCCCCCGCTGAGCCGCTCTCCCAAGCTGCGACGTGCGATCACGTCGATCAGTGACAGTGACACACGCGTGTGCAGGGCCACCAGGATCGAGGTGCGAGATCCTGGCTTCGAAACGCTGCAGAGACACGGTGCAGCTTCTGAAGCAATTTTAGCCCGGCTCCCAGAGTGGCAACTTTCCTCCCCGGCTACATCTGGGCTAAATTTGTCACTCTTTCGCATGCTGCCCTTTCGACATGCAGGCTGCTCATTTCTCACGCTTCCAGCACGCCTTTGTGAGCAGCTGCCATGGTCTGTTTGGCTCTTATTTCAGGTCCTGAACTCCATCTCTGTGTTCCTGTGTCTGTGCCTGAGTTATTGCCTTGTTTCTGCAGGCAGGGGCAGAGCGTAGCTACGTCCAGCTGCTGCCCGGCGCAGAACATAGCGTTTCAGGATGAAATGTGAGCGTGCCCTTGGCAAACGGGCCCCATCAGGGGCTTGCACCCAGAGAGAGCGGGGTTGTGGGTGTACACAGGACCTGAGTATCCCATCCCTGAATACTGCTGCCCAGTTGACCGCTACAGCCTGCTCCTTGCTGTTTCTTCACTGCTACCCTGTAGCAATTAAGGATTGTGATAACAAATGACACTGAAGTGGTTACCCAGCCCCTGCCTTACAAGCAGCTGAAGGAATTCTACTTACACCCTTTCCCAGCTGGGTTTAGCTACCCTAGAAGAAGCACTTCTTCCCACTCTCCCTCTATCCATCCCTAATTTAGAACATTGTACAGCTTTGCTAGGCTGGTATAATTAATGCAGAGCAATTTATGTGTATGTACAAGCCCTAAAAGGTTTCCAAACCAGCCCCCATAAACATTGCATTGGTCAAGACCCACACCCAAGCTCCTCAGCACAGCCTGGTTTCCCTGTTGAGTCACTGGTTTTGCTGGCCTTTGGTTTTGCCCCGATGGTGTCCTACCCAGATGCTGACCCGAGCGGCTCCATAACAGGTGGGAACAGGGCTGTGTTTGTGAGCTCTGTCCGCGACACCTGCCTGTGACCATGAAAACGCCCACCCGCTTCATTTTCCTCCAACACATTGCTCAGCAGATTCAGGATTTAAAAATAGAGGGTTTACATCAAGTGGCACTGGACGTCTCAGTGCAGGTTGCATTAAAATGGAAACTGTAGTACCTGTAAACACAAAATACCTCTTGTTTCCTGAACAACAGCCTGACTGCAGTAGAAACATGTTCTGAAGCAGGTCACCCGCAAACTGCGGGCCCAGTGCTCTGGAGCTGCCAGCAAGCCTGCACGCATCCCGCCACTCAGCTGGATAGCTGCCTCTTTATTCACAGAGGCAGATGAAAGGCATGAGATGACACTAGCTGCCAACAATTCACTCTCTGACAAATGATCTCTCCACCCCCTCACTCCCTCCAAGTCCTGAAAGTCCTGAATCAGGTCCCCCCCTGCTGAAACCATAGCTGGAAAACCAGAGCAGTTGTTGAAACGCTATGGGCTGATGTATTTCTCTCTGCTTTCTGATTTCCAAGCCAAAATTTCAACCTTCCTTTGCTCAGAGAATAAACAGCAGAGAGGTGGGATTTTTAAAAAAAAAAAAATAAAAATTGGAGCCTGGGACCTCCTTCTTCAGCTTCAGGGGTCTGGAGAAGAAGCCCCCGTCCCTGACGGCACAGTGTCGGTGCAGCGGAGCAGCCCACCGGCCAGCTCCTGCTCCTGCGCTGCGTCTGGGCTGCCTGATCTTTCTGTGGCATTTACAAAGACGATTGAGGTTTGGGACTTCCTTGGCGAGCAATTTGTAGGAACGTGCCTCTTCCTGCCGGCTGCTGGTGAGCGGCTGCCTGATGCCATGGCCGAGGCTGGGGAAGGACCTGCTGGGCAAACCTGGTGCTGCTCAGGAAACCCAGCGCCTGCCTTGCAGAGAGCCCTTGGTCCCTGGGCAGCTGAAGATGTGCAGGATTTGCTCTGAGCTGTGATGAGCAACTCCCTCACTGCCCTGTGGGTGGAGGAATCCACCAAAATATGTCACGTCTCAGGGCCGACCGAAGCCGCTGGGGTTTCTGCCAGTCCTGGCCAAGAGGGAGGTCATGGCTCCCTCCGCGCTGCCCGCTGCCTCCCCGTGCTGTTGCTCCCGGCTCTGGCACAGGACCAGGAGCCCTCATAAATCTCTCCGAAGCGTGGTGAGAAGACAGCTGTGGCCGAGCAGAAACGTCCACAAGAAGCTTTGCTCTGGCAGAGCCGATTGCTGCAGAAGACGGGAGGAGAGACGCAGCCCTCTTCCCAGCCAGGGCTCGGGCAGCCGGGTGGCACACGGCGTGCCAAGGCCAGATGAAGTACGGAGGCAGTTCTTGAGGGCGCACCTGCCTGACTTTTTCATCTGCTTGGCAAGGCGAGGTGTCAGATGTGGGCGCTACGTGCGAGGCGAGGAAGCGGGGCGGGATGGCACAGCTCCCACCTCTGGCACTGACACTCTTTGGTGAAGCGAAAACAGCCTCACGGCACCAAGGATGCACTGAAAAGGTCGTTTCTGTTGTGGTGGCTGCTGCTATTGCAAAAGATGGAGAGTTCCTGGCTCCTCCCTCTGGGGTGAGATACAGGCGAGATGACCTCGCCAGGGAGGGAGAGGAGAGAGCTTAAAAGGTCGGAGAATAAACCGAGCATTAAAATTGCAGGCAAGTCCAGGCTGGTTTCTTTGAAGGACACTAGAGATGCTGCTGCTTGACTGAGCATGGTAGACACTCCCAGAGCTGATCGCCTGATACCATGATCTTTCAATATTTCCTTTTGCTTCTGCAGTGTGCTGAAAACATCTATCTTCTGAAATATTTATCTCGTCCACTTCTTCCAGTAGGGAACAAAAGGAGTGTGAAATGTACCTATAACCTGATGGATCATCTGGCACCTTCTGCAGCTTTTAGCAGGTGAAGGTGCCAAATCACAGTTACATCTCCAAGCCCAAGCTCTGAAGGATCAGACACTGATTATCACAGATAGGCAAAGGGCACTCGCTGGTAGGGGTGACCAGCACCTCGTGTTACCTACAGCATAACGTGAGTATGGAACTCTCCTGGGAAGAAACTTAGCATGAGTTTTTGAACACCAGGATAAAGGCAACGAGAGAGTGAGGTATACCCCGTGTCCCTCGGCATGGGAAAACAGGGGCTCGGTGCCACCGTGCCTTCCCCAGCTTGAGGGGTCAAAGACAGCCAGGAAGCTACTTGTCCCACCCCGAGCGCAGTGTGCTGTCTGCGCATGGCTCACCTATGGACCGGGGCACTGCGAGTGCAGAGCGTTACCTACCCTTCCTGCTTCTTACAACATCTAGGTCCGATTCTATGATTCTATGATTCCTTTCTGGATCGTATCTGGTATTACTGCTTGCACCCAGAACACTCCTAAACTAGTTGTCTGCCCGGCAACTGTCCTGCAGCCTCCCGTCAGTGCCATGCCTGCCCTGTGCGGTTCAGGAAAACTGATGTTAGTCTCTGACCACAACCAAACTGTCTGCAAGCAGCAGGACGAGTCGGCTTCCTGCAAAAACCATGCACAGACCCTTCAAGCAACAGTGGCAGGAGAAGACGCACAAGTCTCTTCCCAGCAGTGATTTAGCACCTGTACATTCACTGTGAAGTTCTCCAGCCCAGTCTCAACTCTCTGAGCTTCCTCGTTCCTCTCAAGGTGCCCAAGCAGGGAGCTGAACTGGCGGCACCCCGTTGCAGTAGGCATCTGCAGCTTTGGCTTGCAGGGAGCGGCGGAGAACAAAACCACTTCCCCAGGGAAGACAAGGCCCCCAAAGTAAGGGCATTGCTTGGAAAAGATCTGGCTGACATGGGTACACGCAGACTCCCCACATCCCAGCACAGAGCCCTGCCCCATCCTTCATGTGTCTGCAACATTATGGGTTCTGGCCAGAAACCCTCCCAGTTCCAGTGAGATATTCAGGCCATCTTTGCAATCCCTGAGGCACTGACACACACCAGAACGGCTCTCCCAATCATTTTGCCCATTATCAAATTCAGTGACTTTTAGCACAATCGTTTATGAACTGCCAGCACTGCACCTGGGAGTACTGTACACGGCTGGGAGGGAAATCAACTGTTCCTGCAGCTGCAATGGTGCATTATTTCCCCCAAATTTCTGTGACAAGGCTAGAAAACACAAAATCTGAAAAATTCAAACCAAGCAAGAAGTCAGCGGTGACTGTTGAGGATTTAGCCATGCCCCTTACCCTGGGGACTTCATTCTGCACGAGGAACTAGGCAGGAAGAGCCAGAGGCCCCTGAGACAGGAGCTGGCGGTCCCAGGGACCCCTTCCCTTCAGCAAACCTGCCTGCTGCCCTTCTCTGACCCTTTGCTGCTTTTCTCAGCTCCGTGTTACAGTCTCCCAGGAAAACCCCGCATAATGAAATTGCCCGGTTCCTCCAGCTGTTCCCCCGTTACCCACCCGCCACGCCACGGTTGCTGTATTTCCACCTGCCACTGAGAACGCGGAGAGTGCTTAATGGATTATGGCTGGATAACCAGTAAACCCGAGCATATGCCAACGCCTCAGCCTCCCCTGTGCCTGCTGTGCTCCTGCTCATTGGAGAGAGAGAGCGAGGTCTGCCAGGCAAATCCTGCAGGTCCTGAGGCTGCAGTGCCAGGCACTCCGGGGTGCAGCTCCGACTGCAGAGCCTGGCTGCACCAACGGGGCTGGGGAGCGCGGAGGCGACGACGATTAACGGAGCGAATCCAGGAGCTGCTGCTGCTGCGCATCGACTCGTGCTCAGTGCTCCGTTCGGGGGCTCCGGGAGGAGCTGGCTGCAGGGCTGGAAAGAGCAGGACTCTGCTGGAGTCCTGAGCACTTCTGAGATGGGAGAGAGGACAGGGCTCACTGGGTCGGGCTGCTGGCAACATGCGACAGCCAAGGTGTGTCTCAGAGGGGTAGGCATGGGGACTGAGCAAAGGAGAGGAGAAGCAGCCCATCTCCCTGCATACTCTGTCCCCCTGGACTCCTCAACCAGACATCGCCTCCCACATTTTTGTATCGACAGACACATCATGGATTGATTTCTCATTCTTTAAAACTCAGTACTCGTTCAACAGTTTCACACACAAACAATGTAGACACAGGAATGTACACAAAAGTATTAAATGAGATAGACCTTTATTAAAGCTTCCAGCATATTTTATCTGTTCTCCTCCTCCACAAAACTCCTCTTACTGGATATACAGCTACTATAGTCCATATAGAGCCTGTACATCTCTCTCTTGCTATTTACTGCTACACATCTCACTGTACAATAGTACAGCATGCTCTCTTAGCAATAATACATGGTCTTCAGTACAGCCCTGCACACATTAAAATTGCATGGCACTCTGCAGTACAAGGGAAGAGCTAAACCTCTCCTCTCTGGGTTCAGAAGACAGACATTGCCACAGTGTTCCTATAAAGCTCATAGGCAGATCCGTACAGGTGTTCTGGGCAGATTTCCTCCAGTACCTTTGTGGATCTGGTCCCTAAGTGCTTAACAAATCTCACATTAGTGCTGTTACCAGACTTGAGAATGAAGAAAAACCCTCATGAGTAATGCCCTTGAGTGATCAGGAAGGCACTAGAGACAGGGAAGAAACTGAACCACTTCCTTTTTGTTTTTTGCCCCACCTTCCATTCCGGGTCCCCTCCAGCCCTCTCCAGCCTCACAAGGTTACACGCTCAGCCACAGCACCTCCTCATCCGACACCTCCTCCCAGCCCACTCTGTATCTCTAGGATGGGAGGCAGCGGAGGGACCAAGTGATATACCTGGACCCTTCATCTGGTGATGGTCAGAGCCAAACATGCACATGTGCCTTTCCTCCTCTCCAACATGCTCCTGTCCTTGGCAGGGCTCTTTCCTGAGGCTTCCCTGAGCTCAGCCCCTCTGCCTGCTGCCCCTGCAGCCCCTTTTCAACCTGTGCAGCCTCCTGCACGGCCCTTCCCAGCCGCCCCTTCCGCCGGCTCTGGCTGTGCGACACCCGTCCATCCTCTGCCTCTGGGAGCGCGCGGTGTCCTTGCAGCGGGTGCTCCTCACCCGCAGGCACAGACTCCGCATCTGCAGCTCTGGCTCAGCAGGTCTGAGGCGGCCCCATGCAACAGAAACCCCATGTCAGCCTCCTGAACTGTTAGACCGAGCCATGACTTCTTGGAGTGAAATCCAAGAGGCTGAGTCCTCCCGCAGTGAGCCAAACCAGTCATGGGAGACCTGGGCCTTGCCAAGTGAGCGGCCCCTCCATCCCCCTTTAGCTGCTGCCCAGCTAGCCACGTGCAGCCAGCACATGCTTAGCAAAGCACCATGTTTGGACAGAGACAGCTCTTCCCCAAAGCCCTCTCCTCTCTTCCCTCGCAGATACCCCAGCCCTTTCATAGGAACGATGCACTTTCCTGGTTTCTTTTGCTCTCTCCTTCCTCCACCATCTCAGAGCCCTCCTTTGCCACCAAGTGACTTCAGCAGGGAGGATGGACAAGCAGCGCCCTGGAACAGACACTGTGGCTGCTCCTAGGAGACAGCACAAGTATGCAAGAAGTGTGCAAAGAAAGAACAGAGCCAGCCCACGCTGGGCTCCTCTTCTGTCCAGTACAGGTACAAACTGCCTACCGTATTGTGAATGACTGTCACCAGAAGGACCCTGCTTCATGTGACATCCTGTCCCGTTTAGGGATGGGTCCAGAGAAGTCTTGGTGCTGGGATCCAGGCTTCTCGCACTGCCCAAGAACAAAGTCCCCCGTCTCTGCCTCCGCCGTCCTCACTTGTCCTTGGGAAGCACCTCTGGTCTGTGCTGAGCCTAGGTCCGGGGGTGTCCTTCTCTGACCTGCTTTCGGAAGTAGCGGATGGCAGAAAGTGTGCCAAAACTTGCCAAGAACACTAGAAAAGAACCCAACACATTTCCACAGTGAGTCTGGGTGCTTCTTCCAAACCTGAAGATCTTTTTCCAGACTTGAAGATCACAAGCTGCTTGGCTCACTCTGGTCCATGGGACCTAGAGGTGCCCCCTCCTGCCTTCGGTTTTCATCCCCACCACACTGTGCTTGTTCCCAGTGCGCTCAGTCCTGAGCTGCCCACAGCCTGGCTGACCACATCTAGTCCTATAGTTTGGGCTCAGGGGTCACACCATCGTTTCACAAGAAATAACTGGTTTTAAGGGAAACATAGACTTCATCGACTTCATGTGTGTGATGGAGATGGGTGGTGGTTAGACATACAGGTTCATGTGGAGACCTATTGGGTCTAATCTCGGGTGAGAAGGCGACAGCAGGAAATCTCACCAGGGCTTCAGGACAGTCCCTTCATTTTCTAATTCTGTTTGGACCAGGAAGATGTGAAGGAAAATACAATTTTGTGTGTTATCTGTTGATACTCTGATCCCAGCCAAAAGCAGAAAACACCCCAAACTCAGAATCAGAAAATGCAGAGATACAAAAAACAACTAATGGAGATTATACACAGAATCAACCTCTTCTCTGTACTTTCAGTTAAAGTTTTTATCTTGGCTTATAAGAGACGTCAAATTCCCCTGATCTGTGCCCAAGCAAAACTGGGACTTTCCAGTTTAAATTCAGACTTGATTTTGATTTACACATTAAAGTCTGGAACATAGACAGGGAAATTCAACTTGATAGAACCTAAAATGCCGAAAGAGAATTGCTAGTCCGGGATGTTGAGCTGTCTCTTGCCTCCTCCCGGGGAGCTCACTGCACGCTGGCTTACGCAATCCTCAGGGCACGAGGCCCATATCCTGCTTTTCGCACCCCTCTGAGGCCACGTCTACCATCTAATACTAAGAAGGCAAGGAGGAGCAGGCCAAAAGCTCCTTGTGATGATTGCACTGAGCAACTTTAGCTAATGAGCTATTCTCAGCTTGGGTGTCAGCTTCCTGTGTGACCTTAGTGGGGAACATTCCTCCCCTGGACAAGCAGCAGGAAGCCCTGGCCCCAGCGTCTCACCCCACAGCAGGGGCTCTCCGGTGCCCATGGGCTGGACCCTGAGTTCAGCTGCTGCAGCCGTCCCACGTCCTGCTCGTCCAGCAACCTGCACCCCTTAGGTCACAGCTCAGCTAACTCATGCTGCCCAAGCTTCCTCTCTCCCCACCAGTTATTCAAATACTGTGGTTGGAGAGGAGAGGAACTGACAGAGCTCCGTTTACTTGTAGGACTCAGTGCACCAGGATAATACTTCAGCTAAGCTGTATTTAGAAAAAAGATTATACCTTTACAGCACGTTAGAAAAATATGTGCATTTGTTCCAGCTAAGATGAAGGAGTATAAACCTGCATACCCAAGGTCCTGATTTAGCTTCTAGCTAGCACAGATCCTAAAGAAGCCTCTCTTCCCCTGACACATGGATGCTGGTCCCTGTCAGAGGCTGGATGGAGCAGGGCCAAAGCCAGGAATACAGACTTGTCCTATGTCTCAGTTCACTTTGTGTGGGGAAAGGACAACGTAAGTGAGTAGGAGTCAGGACTGCCATTGCTATAGGAGAGAGAAGGTATTAGAAAGTAACAGGACACTTTGGAAAAGTAGCAAAATGACTGCATTTTCCCACAGGCAGCATTAGGTGTATTAGCATCCCTGCCTTTCTCCCCTCTACATCTTCCAAGAGGTCCTTCCCACCCCTCTCCCTCCAGGCTGGCCACCATACGTACTGGTCTTCCAGGCATCTGGAGCCTGCAGGTCGGAGGTCTTCACTGCCCAGGATGCAAAGGCACAGAAGACGAGGCACATGTCTTTGTGGGTCAGTGCCAGTGGAGCCTGGGGCCTCCCTGCGAGAAGAAGAGCAGGAGGCTTGAGGTTCTGCGAGACCTCCTCTGCCACAGCAGACTCCAGTCCCTCCGGGGCAGCAAGTCCCTCGCGCTCCAGGAGACACACATCTTTGTCACACATTTTTCCTCCCAGAAGACATTTTGCACCGTTGGTCAAGTCAAACATGTCTGTTTAGGACTTGGGTATGTTTCCTAAGGACAGGGGCACATTTTTCACCCCTCTCAGTTTTACACTTTGTTAAGAGCCCGAGGCAAATATCTTACTGCTCCCACACTGGGAGGCACAGCCAGCGGACGCGCTGCTGCCAGGACCTCTGACTGCCTCACCCCCTCCCGGCGTGTCCTCCCAGCACAGCTCTGTGTGCTGGCTGGGAGCGGGGCTGGGGAGTAGATTTAGGAGAGAGCGATTCCCGGGTTGGCTGTCAGTGCATGGGGGCTGCAGGCAGACCCCCTTCCTGCAAGGCAATGCCTGAGTCACATGCAGCTCTAGTACAACACATTTTCCCCCAAAAAGCAGCAGCTCAGCATCTCTCTGTGCATCCCACCTCACTCCCACTGCCTGCGAGGTCCAGGGAGGGAGGCAGCCCTGAGCGCTCTGCGTTTCTTCCTCTGCTGGAGTTCCAGCCTAGCACAACTTGAAGGCATGTTGCAAGAGTAGGTTATTTTTGCTCCTATGTTTATTTGATCAGCCTTTTAATTAAAGCTGGCTTATTAATTAGCTACGACCCTGGCAAAGGGGTTTTTCTCTCTGCAAACAGACTGGAAGCTCTATTTTGAGGCACCCTTTGGGATGACTCATTCATTGTTTGGTTTTAATATTAACTGTGAGGCACTGTGGCTGTAAGCATCATATAAGCTCTAAGATAAATACACTGACTGTCCTAGTGGGTCAGACTTGTTCTCCCTTTAATTTATGTTTCTCTTACCTGCCTTCAGTAACAGTCAATGTCCAAGTAACCTCTGAGGTCTCTGGAGGGTGTTTTTCAAATTAGTGTGTGTTTTAAAATCCCCCTCACCTCTTTCACCTGGAAGCCTCGGACATTTTCCACTCTGTGAACACCTTTTTCCTCACCAATATCGATTGCCAGCCCAGCTTTAACAGCACAGCGGCCCCCCAGCCACTGCCTTATTTGAGGGGCATGAGTTCTTTGGTTTAGAAGGATTTTGCTGCTTCGCCTCCCATTCCCTCATCAGAAACACAGGTAGGTGGTTCTGCAGGCAGTTGGATGGCACTGGGGTGGGGATTCCTGTCTCTACCAGACCTTGCAATAACACCAGCCATGTGTAACGCAGCTATCCGCTTCAGTCAGTAAGTTTTCCTTGGCCAGAGTGCAAAAGAACAGATCAGATCCACAGTAAGTTATATCCATTCAGGGCACAAGCGCATCAGCTGGGATGGGGACTTTGGGCCAGACTGAGTTTCAGCCTGTGGCATGCGTGCTGTTGTGACCACCTCTCCCCCAGGACTGCAGTTTGTGGGAAGCAAAGCAAGTCATGCCCCGGATATACCCAGATCCCCTGTCCATGCGTCCTGCAGCACTGGGAGCCAGCCTGTGGCGCTGGACCACTGGCACTCGCTTGGCATAGGGACAGCGTGAGCATCCCAAGGGGCGCTGGGAGCAGGGAGGACCACGCAGGGCAGGGGCACATCTCTGCGTGGCAGCGAGTGGGGCTGTCGGGCAGCAGGTGGGGGGAACATACTTTACCTGTCAAGGCAAGGGCCATGTCCGGACCTTCTGGCTGTGCCTGGCGAATTCCCAGCGGAGCCAGCGGGATGAGGGGGAGCTTCTCTCCAGATTGTCTCCGCACGAGAGCCTGGGGGGCTGGGGCTTGGCCTCTGACAAGACGCATCGGCCTTTGCAGGAGGGACTTCAAAGCCCCCACAGCTTTCTTCACCTCGGAGGCTGGAGCGGATGAGAAAATCCCTCTCCAGCCAGCCCTGTTCACAGGCCCATCCGGAAAGAAGTGTTCATACACCTCAGGGACTGAGATAACCAGGCAGTCTTTGACTGGAGCCGAGTTGGGATCCTCATTTTCCAGCTGAGTGTGGTGCGAGCTGCTGAACTTCTTTCGCTTCCTGTCTTTACCCTTGACTTTTTTCCTGTTTCCTTCTGGTTCATTGAAAAAGTACTCATACAGTTCAGGCAAGGATATTTCCCTTTCCAAGGGTGTTTTATTCCCCTCCACAGAGTTGCCCATCTCTTCTTCTTCCCCTTGGGAGTCACAGAACAAATAGTCATACATCTCAGGCCAAGTCACGTCCAGGGTATCTGCTCCTGCAGAAGCCTCAGCTGCAAAGCAAGGGGGGCCCAGCTCCCCGGGGGTCTTAGCTGCAGGCTCCCCATGAGCCCCCCCAGCAGCATCCCCTCCAAAAGGTACCATGCCTTTGGGATGGAGAGGCTTCTCTGGCACCTCCT